CTGTTTTTCCACAAAAATCAAGAATGTACCTGAAATTCTCCAGAGAGAACACGTCGAGTGTAGATGTTACTTGTGTAAGGCTCAAAAGACTCATTATTGCCAAGGATCTGTGCAGTAGAAGCTGTTGGCATTGGTGCAACCAATAAACTGTTCCTTAATCCATACCTAAATAAACATCAAAAAGATGATCCTCTGAGTTGTTGAATGGCTTGTTTTTACCAAAGTAGGAAATTAATAGACAGAAACCCTGTTAAAGAAAATGTTCATTGTGGTGTGTAAATGTTTAATACTTAGCCTCACAATGTGGAGTCCCGCTATCAAATGTATTGATAACGACATTTTGACTGCTGTACTGCTAGTATTTGTCAGATGATAAGTTTGCAACTTAATGAACAATTACCAACTTTAACATTTTTACCCCTTAGGGTGGCAATATCACCCCTGAATCAAACATTAAGGTCACAAGAATAAAGGAAATGATCATCAACTAAAAAAGTGCTTGATTTTAAACAAATTCTCTTAGTCAACATCTTAGGAAATGTATAAAGAACAGTATGGAGAATATGCATACTGATGTTAGGCTGCATATTCTCCATAAGGGTTAAGAATTAAAAAGTTTTGATAACCATAATTATTTTCTCAATTAAAGAACATCTTACTTTTTTATTTCTGCCTTGAGAGCTGCCCAATCCCACAAATCTGATGGGGTGACATCCCAAAGATCATACTGAAGTTTCTACAGAAATGAAAGAGATTACCGGTAAGTATGTTAATGAGTAAAGGAAGTCATTTAGGGTGACTTGAAACTTTGATTCCTAAGAATAATCATGTTATTTCTTATGACAGTATCCACCCTGAATTAATCATTTGGGCAATATGAATGAAGAAAATGCTTACCAAATGACAAAGCTCTTAGCTTTGGAACAAATTCTTGTTTTCATTGTATCTGTATTACAGCAGTGGTAACTAAAGACGTCTCCCTCTTAATTCTCAGACTTAGTAATTTAGAGCTTTGGTACCTCTTTGTTAATGTTTTCACAAATAACACTCGGAAGCTTTGTAAATACATGTACAATCCATTTTCAGATAATTCTTAGCTTTCACCTACTGATACATTGAATCTCGAGTTTTTGGTAATAAACCTCTCTTAATTAAACACCACCTATTCCAAGATTGAAGTGTATTATAAAATCATTTACCCCTTTGCTAGCAGGTGATCCCTTATAGGTTTCATATGGTCCCTTTTCTTTAGCCAGTTGGCAGGAAGCCTATAATGGAGTGAACAGTATTAGATATTTGTCTCTTTCCTGGTGCTAAACAACTTAATCTAAACATGAAGGCAAATTAATTATTCTTTAACAATTTGACTACCAATACTGGGTTTTAAGTCAATGTTTGCATGTCCTTAATCAGACCAGGAAGAGATTGGAGTAAGATTCTGTTGAAAGAATAGTCAGGTTTTTTATCTTGGAGACTCACTTACTCTCCAACAATGCATCTCTAAAACAAAATTACTCATATAAACCTATAAATTAAAAAAAGCTTACTGTAAGGGCTCCAAAGTAGATTGTCTCAAATATTTTCTTGTTCAAATCTTTGGCCTCTTCACTTTCAAATGGATATCTCATGAGAATGAAGGCATCAGCCAATCCCTGAAACAACAGTAAAGAAATAATCAGCTATGAAATTTGTTTATTCACAAAGTGAACTTCTAGTTAAATTGTGCATTAAAAAAAAATACATAGAGAGTTGTCCAAAAAATTAAAACACTACAGCATTTTTTACCTGAACACCAATACCAATGGGTCTATGTCTTTTGTTTGATTTTTCAGCCTGAAAAATGTAATCATAGACTATCAGAAACAGGAAACGGCTTTAGATTAACAGGACAAAATATAACAAAGATCCCATTAATTGAATAAAGTCCTACATTCTGATTGGTTAATGAGGCAAGGTCTTTGGCTTGGGATTGTGAGTTGAAAACAAGGCTAAGTGATAGTTTCACATATTTTGTTTTGCACTCCAGATAAAAACTAACAGATTACTTTTTTTTCTCTTACCTTTAATCAATTATGTGCTGAAAGGAAAACTCAATAACTAGACTTGTGAATTCCCCATTAAAATTACACTTGAAAATCAATCAGCACTTCAGTTTTTGTGTGCAATTTAAAGCAGAATTTTCAAGGTCATCAGTTTTTCTAGTAAATTGACTAAACAAAACTAAAACTACAAAACCTATTGGCTAAGACTGAAGAAAAGAATTTGAGCACAGGAAAGAAATAATGAAAGCCTATACATTGTAGACAAAATACTAATAGTTAAAGAAAAATAAAGTTCTAAAACAAAGTTTAAAACATAAAACAAAAAAGATGCCTCTTAAACAAACCTCCTTCACTGGGTAGTAATTGATGTCAATAATCTTGTTCAAGTTGCGTGTTACCACCTTAAAAATATTTTATGACATAAATCAGTATAGAGTAAATTATTTAATACTAAATAATAAAATGATAGTTTTCCACTTTTTTTTCAAACTCTGTATTTGCACCTGTAACCTTTCTACTAACCTGGGTAACCTCAAAAAGCTTTTGGAAGTTGTATGTCTTCTGGACAGTTCCATTAGTTACAACAAACTTGTTGAGTGCAAGAGAAGCTAAGTTACAGACAGCAACCTGAAAGATAAATAGAAAGATACTTTGTTGTTTCCATGACAATAAAGTAGGAACATGGGTTTCCATAAGTGTCTGCCATTGTTTCAAAAGTTGTAGCTATGAAATTACACTGCAGGCTGAAATTTCAAAAGGTGATTCAAAGGTGGTGAACAAGTTTAAGTGTGTAACCTTGGAAGTGCTCATTATGCTTTACTATGCGATCACCAGCCAAAAAATCCAGCTGGTGATTGCCACTTTTTCATCTGGCCAATTTCTCCGGCAGCAAGCACTTAGCAACAACCCTGCAAATTGTGGCCATGTTTTAAGGGGCTTAAGACAACAGCCTGTTTGCAGGCTAAACAGACTGCAGTACAAGATCTTGCAAGCAGCAGTAGATGGCTAGTGTAAGAGACTTTTATTGAAACTCTGAGCTATGTCTCCTGATGCCTTTTGAAGAGAACATAAAGATGTAAAACTTTTGTGGGAAAAAGAAACAGGCTGGTCTGCTATTAAACATCAACATCAAAGCTCACCTCATCTGGACAGCTGTACTCCACAATTTCAGTGCACAAATTGCTGCATTTGATTGTTCCAACATTCTGGGTGGATATAAACAGTTTGATTTTAAAAAAGTTGTGATTCAATTTCAGTACAATTTGATACTTGTATCTTGTCTAGTACTGGGTGGGTAAGGAAAGTTGATGGGGAAGAGTGATAACTGCAGAAAATCCTTTAATCATTAAGAGTGACTAGTATCTTATTCTCTTTGTAGTATCATTCCTGAATCACACATTAAGGTTACAGGAATAAAGTAAATGATCACCCAATAAAAAAAGCTCGAGATCATTAAACAAATTCTCCTTGTTAAAACCCAAAGCTGTGGTCTAGCAGCACCTGGTGGCTCCTGGCACCTAACTTTTGCTCTTAGGCAACTCAGGAATTTTAGTTTTTCATAAAAAAAAAAAAAACATATGCTGGGCACCCTGGACTCCATTCCATTATCCTTAGAGCACTGCCTTGAAACCTAAGGAAATGTATAGAGAAAAGTATGGAGAAAATGCATACTGATGTTCAGGTGTTATGGCATAACCCACTTGTGTACCTGCTGGTTACTTTTCCTGTTGCATGCATCTTTGTATAACATGTACGGTGTGCCTGTCTCAATCTGTGATTGACAGATGGCCTGCCAAAGATTCTGTGCTTTGACTTGTCGCCGAAACTTTCCTTGTTCCTCGTAGCTACAAACAGGATTAAAAGACAAAGAGAGTGAACATTTCCAGTACTAATGAGGGATTTGATGCCAAACTTACACCTAACTTTTGAATGTTTTGCGCATACCTATCAGCCACACCTATTTTTAGGAAATCTTCAATGTTTCAGTTTTCATGTTTTCAGGGGTGTTACCACATGCTTTTGTTCATTTTCGCTGTTTCTTTTCCTCTCTTCGTTCCACATTTAGGCAAGTATTCATCCCATACATCACTTCGCCAGTGCCACATTGATGAATGACTGAAGGAAGGTTCTGACTTCAGAGACCATGCCCTGCTAATTCCTCTTAATTTTAATCCATCAACCCCAGAGTGACAAGCATATAATTTCACCTGACAGTATCACCCAGGGGTTTCATCACAGGCCAGGAACTGGGTAAATTTACCGATTGTGAGGAGTTTTGCCCACCTCGTTTGTTGATCAAGGAGAAAGTTTATCTTATAAAGAAGTTCAATTAAAAAAGTTTTGCCAGCCTGTGAAAACCAGTTGCACTCCTGCTGAAAACTTTAACGAAACCCCTAATCACTCCTAAATCAAACAACATCAAGGTCACAAAATAAAGAAATGATTTTGCACATACCGGGTGTAAAGCTCTTCAAATTCTTCACCCCAACAATCTTGTAGCCCAGGACACTCATTTGGACACATGAGTGACCACATCTCATCCTTCTCAACGCGTCTCATGAACAAGTCAGGGATCCACAATGCATAAAAAAGATCACGAGCACGCTAGAGAATCACAGATAGCAAATTAGTATGAAGCAACTAAAAAAAATCTTTGCTTCCTGGGGGGGGGAAGGGGCATTTCTTGAAAATCCTGGTAGCTTTGCAGACCCAAAATAATATTGTAAAATCTAATTCTAGGGATGTTTAGTGCAGGTGTCAGCTAAAAAACCAGTACATTTGTTTCATCTCCTAATATTTTCATGGTTCAAAATTTCATCACAGCGATCCTGAATGAAATACAGTAAAGAAAATGGAAATGGATCATGTTTATTGTAGGTACTCAACTGATATATGGGACGACACTTGGGCAATAATTGGCCGATAGTGGCTCAATATATCGGGCAAGATTATTGACTATTAATTGAATTAATTTTAATTTAATTTAATAATTTATTCCATTTTCACTGCATTAATTTGCAGTGGGGAAGGACTAGAAGGGAACATATGAACCATTCGAGCTAGTCCACCTTTTCACCCCAGGGGAGGACATCTATCACAAAGTAATCTCGTGCGTGGGAAATTAACGTCTCCTACCCCAACCCTGCAGGAGATGGGACCTCCATTTATTGGTCCCTATCCAAGAAGACTAGAATATCCAACCATTTCTTGATGTTATAGAAAGGTAGCAAATTCTTCTCAATTATTTTAAGACCTTGAGWGTTGGTCCGGCTGGGGCTCAAACCCTCGACCTCCCGCACAACAGTCCAGCGCACTATCCATTGGGCTAACTGGGCAGCAGTTGACTATCAAGCGAGTCTCCACTAAGTATCGACCAACTATTCACTGAGTGTTAACTGACATATTGGTCAAGAGCACCTACAGTAAACATGATCCAAGAAAATCACCTTTTCATCCACCTACTCAGTTCAGATCCTACATCTACCAAAATTGCTTGAGAACTCAGTTTGCTTCTTCCACAATACATTTTGAGCGAAACAGAAAAGTTATATAAATATCATCCAATTTTCACCTGCTCTTCTTTACCAGTGTTCTTTCTCAGTTCCAAGAAATCATAGACGTCACTGTGCCAAGGCTCCAGATATATGGCAAAGGCACCGGGTCTCTTGTTGCCTCCTTGATCTACGTACCTGGCTGTGGCATTGTACACACGTAACATTGGAACAAGGCCATTTGAGACTCCATTGGTCTGGTGAAAGAGGAAATAGAAATTTGCAAATCCCTTCTACAAAACTTTTGACAATTTCATAGTATGGAAAAGGGCTTTTTTTGACATTGTGAATGGTACGAGCTAGATGTGATCAATTTGAAGCTTTAAAATCCCTTCACCTCCCCCCCAGGCATTTGAACTTAAGAAGATTGACTTTCTTAAATTCCTGCCCCCCCTCCCAGCCAAAATTAGCTTTCAAATGCACTGCCCAATATTAAATGATTCTTTGTGGGGTCAATGATTGTTGTAGAAGTTTGCCAAGTCACATATTACTTTTTGATGCTGCTATTGGGTGCTTCCCTCGCGAGCATCATTAAACCAGGGTCCTTGCACTTTTTCAGGAACCCACTTTAAGGAACTTTTTTGCATTAAATAGGAGCTAATAGCAATAAAAAAAACATTGCTCTTTACTGTTAAAAATAACAGATAAAAGTCCAACGAGTATGACTTCAAACGCGTGCATCAGAGTGATCACATACTAGGTAACGAAGATCATTTTTCAAGGCACCAATCAGGTACAATATATATAAAAATCACCAGTCAAATGTAATTGGATGCAGAATTTGAAAGGAAAACTCATTTTCACAGCTTGTGCAAGAAACTTACACTTTCAACACCAACAACAAAAGAAAACTTCTACTTTGATTCATCTGCCATTATTTCCAAGAACTTTTCAAGGACCCAAGTCTAAATTTAAGGGTTTTCAAGTCCTCGAAAACAAAAAATTAAATTTAAGGACTTTCAAGGAGTGTGGGAACCCTGATATATAATGTGAAAATTGTCTTTCTAAGCCATTCCCTCACAAAAGCAGACTCTTTACCTTTAAACCCCTCTATTAAAACACATGTATCACACTAGAAAGACTTGACATTTCTAGTTCAAATGCCCCACCCCACCCCTCCATTGGCAACTTTTCTGACTCAACCCACCCCAGATTTTCCAACAAATGAAAGCTCTAAATTGTAGAGATTCTTGACTGTCTTTCTCTCAGCAACAAATCAGCTTTTCTGATAACACCTATAAGACACTGTCCATGCACCACCTTCATCAATGTGATGTCTTACCCCAGCAATGTAGCTCCCAGAACCCCGGATGTTATGAACATTGATCCCAATTCCACCTGCCGCCTTAGATATATTTGCACAAAGACTCAGTGTTTCATAAATCCCATCAATGCTGTCATCTGTCATGGTCACAAGGAAACAACTGGACAATTGAGGTTTACATGTGCCAGCATTAAACAGTGTTGGTGATGCGTGCGTAAACCATTTCTCAGACAACAGTTTGTATGTTTCAATTGCTGCATCAATGTCATTCTGGTGAATTCCAAGTGCAACTCGCATCAACATGTGTTGTGGTCTTTCAGCCACTTTGCCATTGATTTTAAGCAAGTAGGACCTCATCAGTGTCTGCAAAGAGTAATTTTAAGGATTTTAAATAAGACCAATTAGAAAAAAAAACAAAAGGCTCAGATTCATTTAAACAAAACAAGGTCCCACATACCTTAACACCAAAGTAGTTGTACTGGTAATCACGGTCATAAATGATTTCTGAGTCAAGTCTCTGAAAAAAAGAAGAGGCAAAATTTGAGGATTTCCGTTTTTATCTCCGATACAAATGCTGACAAACAAAACAAGATTGCTTTGATTAATTTCAGTCCTACGAGTGAAAGAGCTATGAAAATTTTATGTATCAAGTAACATTTACTTGATAATATATTGATCTAGCTACAGCTTACAGGGGAGATCTGATTTGATTTCAAATTCTCACAAAAAGGCAATAAAAAAAATTATGAACACTGGTTAGGTGAATTAGTTATCTATCCTAGAAGTGAAATAGTAAAAAAAAAAAAAAAATGCAGGTGGAACAAGCAGGGTTGTTATAGAGTACTCATGGGTCAAGTGACTCTTTTCATTGCCCCAAATAAATCATAAATATACTTGTTATCAGTAATTTTACTTTTCCTCTGGAAAGTAGATTTAAAACATGATTGAGTTATGGGAGATTTTGATCCTTACAGTGGTAGTGCCATGTAATACAATACATTACAGTTGCAAAAAAGTTGCTGCTACCTGTGCAAAAAACACACCCAACTGTTCAGCTCTCAAGATCTGATTTCTACTTGGAGAATTTGGTATTGGATCAACTAAAAATCCTCTGATTGATATTTTTCTTTATTCTCATCACTTGTCTGCTTGATATTGTAATGAGAATTTCTTCCTTGGTCACTCATGGAAATTAAGGATTAAGAAAACCCTGACAAGTGATTCATCTGTATCATCAGAACTTGAACTGGCTGCATTTGAGAAAATATTTCATTGCAATTTCCACCATGAACTATCCAACTGCAGATACAACAATCAGAGTACACAGGTTTGTAAACTTACATCAGCGTTCTCCATTACAAGTTCATAAGTCTCCTTAGAGATCAGAGGAGAATGCTTTTCATTCTTTGGGTTGACATAGTTGTAAAGATCTGTCATTACCTCTATGGGAAAAATAAAAATAAAAAAATAATGAAATAAGAAATGGATGAAAAACCATGTAAAATGAATTAATTTGGAATGGAGGCCACCTCCATGTGATAGGCCCAACTCAAGAGCTTTTACAGCCAGAGCAGTGGTCATTTCTGTTATTTTTGTGACCCAGATGTGTGCTTGAGGGGTGATACGGTACTGGGAAACTGGGTGCTAGTCCCTTATAACAGTCAAAGGGTAAATGCAAACTAATTTCTTAAATTTCTTCCACGTACAAGGCTATGCTCTAAGAAAAATTGAAGGGAGCCCAGTGCTCTGAAACTGTGAAATCCAGGGTGCCTAGCATATACTTTTTAAAAAAAAAACTAAGATTCCTGAGTTGCCCAAGAGCAAAAGTAAGGTGCCAGGGACCACCGGACACTGCTAGCCAACAGCCCTGATGCACTATAGGGACAATAATGGTCAAGGAGATTTCTTGGTCACTATACGAATTGTCAGGTCTTACAAGTATGAGGGAAAGTGCAAAAAGCGTGACAGAGGACATGAGGTCGTGACCACAATTTTTCCACAAACCACTGAAAATCTTCTTTGTTTCTTTGTGAAGATTAGAAACTTCAATCCTGGCAGCAAGGACAGCATAGTCTGGGTGAATGGTTGTCATGGAGGCAGCTATCTCAGCAGCTAGTATATCCAGCTGAGTTGTGGCTACACCAGGGTAGATCCCATCGATTACTTTCTTGACAATCTCAAACTGAAGTATAGAAAAAAAAAAAGGCAAGTGTAAGCAGGATGGTTACTGCAAAATCTGGGAGACAATCTGAAGCTTCGTTATACGACGTGCCTTGTAAATACAGGATATTTTTACATAACTGCTCGAAAATAAGCCCAGTACGTATTTTATTGCATTAACTGCGCAAAAATTTTCCATTTTCGTGTTCGTGAAGTGTTCAAAGTACCCTCAGAAGTCAATGCGTTCCTTGACTTTCTTTGAAACGCATGTGGTTTCGATTTAGCGCCAACCTTGTTAACTTATCAATAAAAAATTTCGAAAATTCTCTAAATTAGCAGCCCCTTTTAGTAAACAGTATACACAAAGTTTCAGTATTACTTTATGCACAATCTGTTTAGGCTAATTATAAATTGGTTTCCAATTGTAAGTTATAAATATCGAGGGTTTTCGAAGCAATAACTTTCATAATTACGCGATTCGCGATAAAGGCAGTTAATCAAATTCATAAAAAAATAAAAGTAGATAAAATAGAAAGTTGTTAGTAAATTATGATCACTGCACGGATTTCAGACGAGGTTATGCAGCGTGGCTTTTGTCGAAGAAGAAATTTTACCGTAGAGAGGCAGTTGTAAATTGCGCGCCAAGATTTTTCAATTTGACCTGAAGACGACAAAGAAAATGGTACTCTCAAGGATTCCACGAGATTCATTTGTCCAAAAGTTAAATATTATGGAACAGAAACAGGCATTTGCAATCAATCCCAAAGATAAATTGTAGATTTCGTTTTGCCATTTGGCGCCAAAAGATAAGTTATTGTTCAGTTCGATTAGTCGATCCTATCGTTCACCGATTTACACGTAAAAGTAATCTTACCGTGTCAACAAACTCAGAGAGCTCATAACCAAGCTTTTTGATCCTAGCAGTGACTTTATTTAGATTGATCTCCTCCTCTTTTCCATCTGGAAGTGAAAGTGAAATGTACATGAACAAGATGGCGGTCAATACTTGCGCAGTTCGTTAGAGAAAAACAAAAACCTTACTTCGTTTAAGGACGTAAGAAGAAGGTTTCTTGGTTTTCTTCTCTTGCTTTGAGTTGTCGGCCATAGTGCAAAGAAAAATTCTCTTAAAAAGGGTAACCAAAAAGAAAAATATCTACTGCAAATTTCCAAACTAACTTGACCTTGTGGCGATGTGAGGTAAGTGATTCAAGTTTGGCGCCGTAAGACAATTCAAGTTCTTTTTCCCGCGTGTGATTAAAATTAGCCAATCAGAGCCGCATGGAACAATCAATCACCAAATACGGATAGATCAGGCGATCCACTTTCTTTGTATTCTCTTTTGTTTTATCTTTTCCCTGTATTTCGGATGTCAACTTTAATTAGGACCAACGTTATTTTGATTATCACTCTCTTCCTCTTTGCTTCTACCCTTAACAAACTAAGTTTGTTTGATTCGGGGTTTGTCCGATTGAGTTAAGCTACGGGAAAAATGGAAAAAAAAACTAATTAATTAATTAAAAAAACCCAGTGATTTCAGATCAATCATGGCGAACAGTTATCAAAGCAAAAATGGCGTGCGCGAGGCTGGCGTTCGCAAGGGGCAATCTCATCGCATTCTTCCTCCCTCGGTCGCACGAACACTCAGACTCTAGAAAAGATGAAAAAAAAAATTAAATAAAAATAAAGAAAAGACAAATAAAAATATTGAATGGAATCATCAGTGTTCTGCAGGCCAGAGATAAAGTAAATAAATAACCGGCCTATCAAATCAATACGCCTCTTCCTCCCTCGGGCTAACGTGAAAGATGAAGAAAAAAAAAAAATTAATGAAATAAAGAAGAGACAAACAAAAAATATTGAATAGAATTATCAGCGTTCTGCAGGCCGGAGGTAAAGTAAATAAATTGCAGACCCATCAATTAAATACATCATTGTTAACTGACTTTCTGTGTTCTGCCAACTGCAAACACTGTATTTACCCAAGCTGCGCACGACTTTAGGAAGTAGCAGAAACGTTAGGGACAAAAACCCTTCTCAATTTCTGAAAAAATTGGATGACAACACCCATAGCACTCAAGAACTGGCCTTAAAGTTCACGTATGATTGACTTGTGACCGAATAAACTGAAGCATTTTCCCTGACTCCAGTGTGATGAAAGCCTTCCATAAACAGTTGATTTAAGAAGGAGAGCGTTTTGACGTTATCGCTGAAGAAGTGAAAAATATTTTGATCGTAAAATTACACTAGTGCTTAACGGTCAACACTTAAAAGAGTTGATTATTTTTGCGGGTGAACTGTTCCACGAAATTTTGCCCAGCGCGCGGAGAAAATTTGTTAATGAAGGGATGGCCATGCGAGGCCCTAATTTGGCATGAAAATATATTCTAATCTTTGTTAAAGGAACATTATTTAAACATGAAAGCCAACGGTTCTCCTCCTTTTTTTTTTTTTTTTTTCTTTGCTCAGCAGAAAACTTTTCGCCTTTCGGATCTCATAAGATCTAATAATGTCCGCGATCATGATCAACCGGGCAATATTTGCGCGCCCAACAGAGGCTGATGTTTACATAAAGCTCCTCAAGTGCTTCTTCTATATTTTTCGCGGGCATACGCAGACATCACAGGCGGCGTGCAGGCTAGTAAATGTCGATAAGATGACAGTCGTACGTGTAGAGCTTCCCTGCAGAAAAAATCATGCGTGCAACTCGCCCACGATTTGGACTTCTAAATTGTGGCGTGTTTTTGTTTTCATTCCTGTTCATTTTGTCCGGGAATATTGGAAGCTGTGACCATCAATCACTGTGCACAAAACCCAGCCTTTGATTTCCAGAGCGGTTAGAAAAGCAGCAGCTGTACATGTTGCTTTGAGATTTGCCGATCGAATTTTTGACTCCTTGAGTTATCTGTTCTGTGACTGAAAAAGTCTGAAATCGAGAAGTTTTAATCCATAAGGTTCCACTGAATGATGTATTAAAAACAGAGTTTTGTATGATCGTTATCCGATCAGTCATTATATGATCATGTTTAGGATGATTTTGATCGCTCAGAAGTGCCTCAGTATCGTTTCTGTTCTGTTTATATCTAAGGAGTCATGCAAAGCATGAATACAGAATCAGAAAAACTATGAGATGGACATCCAATTACTTATGGATGACCAGTTGGTGTTTTTCAATAAATTGTAGGAAACAAGATCATGAAGGTTAGCCTCTAAGCTTAAAAGGAAAAAGGTAATTGACTAACTGTGGGGATAGGAAACAAACATCTGGATAGAGCCAGAACCTTGTACTCTATCAAATTGCAGTTCCTGAAAATTTTCTCCAATTAACCTACCAAAGCCATTTAATGTTTGGAATATTTGATTATCTTTCTTGAAGCCCGAAGGGAAATAGGTGTTTACAAAGGAAACATTACATTCGGAAAAATGAATATGTTAATATTTTTTTGCTGCACATCAACACTGTTTACACACTGTAACTTGGACGATATCTGAACGACTCTCAGTCTTTGAGAGAGGCCGATTTTTTCGGCCATCAGAAATTTTTCTCCTCTCCATTGTGGCCGTAATCGGTGCAAAGTTGTTCCCACTCGCTTAAAGACAAATTTATCAATTCAATTTGGGAGCCAATGACGTAGTTAAAAGAAATGTCACTAGCCTAAACGATATCGAGTGTTTTCCTTCTTCTGTTTATTCCATAAAATTGGGGTCTCGTTCTCGCCCACGTAAATTTATGCAAATTTTTCAGCAACCTGCGAAGTCGCAATTTCCTCGAGAGAGAATCACTAATTTGCTTTTAGCGAGGATTGCGCTTCGTAATAGAGCCATTTATGTTAAAAAACAAACAGTAGGCTAGCAGTACGAAATATGGGATTTCAGTAAAATGAAAGAGAAGATCATAACGTAAAACTCTTCAAGATCTTTGTGTTAATTCGCCAAAACAAGGAATATGAAATTTCAGAGACTAGCAATTAAAAAAAACTTCTCATTTGAGCATAATTTTTCATGTCAATCATAAATCCAGGCCGATATTTTTACTTGTTTTCCTTAAAATTGAGATTTTAGAGGTTTAGTCAGGAAAGCCTAAACGAAAATTTGATCGATCCGAACACAGTCAAGTACTTTGTAGACAGTAACCAAACGTAACTCTATAAGGCTAATGTTGTTTGAATTCGACTGGAATACAGTTCGATCGTAAGTTACTCAGGCAATTGAGCCTTGTGCGAATTTTGCGAAACGCGATCGTCCGCTTAGTGCCGATAACACCTGCTGTTTGAATTTTATTTACCGAGCGAAGACTGCAAGACTAACATTTATGACATCAGCTCTGCGCACGGAAGGTCTAATTAAAATGTGGCTCATTTAGGGGGTGCCAGAGTTTACCGTCGAAATGAAACAATTAAAGATATTTTCTCGATTAGATGAAACTTGCGAAGTCAGAGTTTACGTTAAAAAAAAAAACCTGTTAGGGTTACAGTAAATTGTTGAAAACAAATCTATCTAGCCAGATCTGTCAAGGCTGAACTTTAAGTATTTCTTTGACGTAAAAGTGATCTCAATGTCCAAGTGAACCACATTTATTTAAGCGCTTTGAATCAGTGACTCGCAGCCTATTGGTGGATTAAACTCACATCCGGCTGCCATCGACTGGAAAAAAACATTGAGATCAAAAATAGGCTCCCCGGCTAATTTATGCGCTAAAAGTCTCAGTTATTGCCGTCGACGTCATTTTCAATGCCCCTTCCGCCAGTTGCTCTGTTTCCAGTCTAAAAATAAATCAATAACGAGCTGAAGCGCTCATGGATGGGCAATTTCAAGCGATGTTTGCTGTTTAGATATCATTCCAAGTCGATACTCGACAGAAACACAGTGTAGCGGTAACGAGGTGTCGCTTTTTCGCCAGTTTAAAACTGTTTACAAACTTCAACGCTATTCTCGCGGTTCAAATTATCGTTGTTTGGAGGTGTCTTTATGGCTTTCGCGTTTGGAGATTCGTACCTGAAGCTTCCGCCAATAACCCAAGAAAGCTCCGTTGAAATCGACGGCGAAGACTCCAAGAGAAATTTGGGGATCGTTCGCGATAAACATGGCCTTGTGCGACTTCCTCCTATCGTGCAGTTGGATTCGCTTCGCTCCACATCAACCGGCGCGCAAAGGTTTCGAAACGAAACCCAAACTGCAGCATCAACCGAAAACGCCGAAGTTGCGATGTCAACATCACCAATGAATATGGCAAACAAAGTGGAGAGTTTAAGGTTGCAGGGACGCTCGAAAAAACTTAAGAAAAATAACAACAAGACCGAGGATGAAATGAAATTAATTATGGAGGCAGCTGTCAAGGAAACCAGTGAAGACGAAACAAGTTTTTTTGACAGCGAAAATGTTTCTCACGTAAGAGGGAAAGCAAGTCGCCAACGCTTAGGTTCACAAACTAGCAATGACGAATTTCTCCCTTTACATAAAGATTCGCTCTTGCCCCGCCGGGGAAGCAGCATCTTTCAACCTACAAAGAAGTTAACAAGGTCGCGCAGGCTGGCAAAATCTTCTCCTGAGTTATCAAATAGGAAGAAAAATTTGCGACTTCTCGCCGATGGAAATGTCAGTGAGCGTTCTATGTCTCCCCTCGTAGCAGGTTTTATGCCAGTAGTCCGATCGAACCTTTCAACCCGTCCACAGCTTGCCGTACAGGACATCGACGGATCAAAGCTTAATTCTCGAGTACTGAATAACGCTGAGATTGAGGAAAAAACAAAAGAGCACGGCGGCAAACGCAGAAATTACAGTAATCAACGCTGGAAAACTGATGTTGCAAATTCACCACAGAGCACCCCTAGTTCACCGGTTTGCAGTGAATCTGCTAACTCTGAGATCAAGCAAAAAGGTCGAAAGTCATTAAACGATATAACGGACGCAGAGCAGTTTGTTGACAGGCGGAGACCCTCTTTGAAAAAGCAAAATCTAATTTATGATGCCGATGTCGATGGACTAAAAATTGAAGGAAAGAGCTGCTCTCAAAGTGAGAAAGAATTGCAAAGAGGAGGTGCTCTGACAGAGCGCAACGTCAATATGTTAAACCCACCGAAAAACGAGGAAAAGAGGCATTCATTGTACGACTTGCAGCAAATATTAACCTTGCTGCAGAAGGAAGATTTAAAGCGGCAGGCTTCCACCACGGCTTTATCGTCTCGAAATGCAAGCGCCGCCTCTAATGCGAACGAGAGGGAACTCAGTGAGTCCGTTTATGACTTAAGGGAGTTCCTGTTGATGGCGGCGGCCGAAGCGTCCAACGCAGAGCAACTTAAGAAGACAACAACGAACAAAGTAAGCGCAAATAACTCACAAACGAACTCATCATCGCATCTTGTGCCTCCTGGGAGAGAGCGAGACGATAGAAAAGGCTCAGTTTACGACCTAATGGAGTTTCTCTCTCTCGGAAATATCAGCGAAACGGGCTCTGGATCTACCAGCGAGAACTCTAGCCGTTCGACTTCGCCGCGAATTTTATTAACGCCGCATGCCAGCTCTAGTTCAAATGACTTGCTCTCCGTTGCCAACCGCAGCGAGGAAGCCAGGAGAACGTCTACTTACGACATCATGGAGTTTTTATCTCTGCCGCGTTCCGGGGGTAATTCGCGCCCTAATTCAGGTCCTAGTAGCCCGGCTCTTCACAAGGAAGGGCCTAGCGCTGCAGAAAGCGACATGAGCGATTCAGGTACTGGCAAGGTTAAAGAGAAGCGAAGTGTGTCTGTATACGATCTGGAAGAATTCCTGTCTATGACATCTGATATACCACCGCTTGCGCGAGTCACACCTTGGGATGAAGAACAAACAACAATTAGAAGCAAAACTGGTTTGAATTCTGAGGAAGGTGCGAAAAGAGATTTGCAACAGCCGAGAGGGTCAGTGTACGACCTGAGAGAAATCCTGAGTGTGTTACAACAGGAAAATGAGTAAAGAGGCGAATCTACGTATAATTTACGCGAGATGTTGTTTCATTTTCAACGTGAAGCCGAAGAAACTGGTCAATCTTCACCCCTGCAATCGACCAATTCATCCGAGAAATCTACGGTCGCTTCCTCCCCCGTAACTACAACGAACGAGAGCAGTGGCTACTCGACCGGTAATGACCTAGCAGCATCAACAAATACATCGTCAGCTACGGATGTAACCGAGAATAGTCGGCAAATGTCTGTGTATGATCTTAGAGAGTTCCTTTCGCTTTATGCCGCTCAACAAAACCCGTCGCCAACTCATCAGCAACAGCTTTCATCTGCAAGTTTATCGAGGCGGAAATTTTCCGGCGTTTCCCAAAGCGGTGTGAGCATACTCGTCACTGATGAATCGAACAGAAGCATCGACAGCGAATTCTACGAAGATGTTTTTCTACCAGTACCAGGTACCGAACCTAGTGGTGCGTCCCCCGATCCATCGCGAAAAAGAAGCTCTATTTATGATCTCCGCGAATTTTTGGGCATTTTAAACGCAGACGAATCTCCCTTGAGAAGACGATTATCTAGCGTGTCATCTGCATCGTCTAAATCCAGCGAAAGTGAATCAGAATCAAATTCTGCCAAAACTAATGGCGCGTTAAAATCAACTGGTTCGAGTCAGGGGAGGGAAAATTCTTCGCGACCACAGCTGAACCCACGCCAGGATTCCGGCGGGAGCCTTTCACTATATGACCTTGGCGAGTTTCTCTCGCTTTTGAACACAGACGAATCTCCATTACGAAGAAGGCTGTCCAGCACGATGTCTTCTCAAGGGGAAAAGGGCACACGCACGCCGGTTCTTTCCAGAAGCGATTCAGAAAAGGGACTGTACAGCTTAGAAGAAATATTAGCTGTTATGAACGAGCTTGAGCAATGGAATAGCAGTAAAAACACGAGTGGGGATATCGAAGGCAATGTTGGAGAAGAGATCAGTATTCAAGTCCCGACTTTACCGCCAAAAGCTGATACAACAAACACACAATCCCTCCCGCCGGGGAAACTTTTACATCCTCAAAGATCACTGAAAAGCGTCCCTGAGACTTTTGAAGTAAGAACCACTCATTCAAATTCGTGTTAGAGTTTCTCTGAATTTTTAAAACAATTATACCGATGAAGACGAATGTTAATTCTCTCTTTTATTTCACTTCCTCTGTTTTGCGTAATTGAGGCTAAGTTTCCAAGGCAAGTGAGATCAGTAGAGACTGCGCTATTTCACTACGGGAGGTTTTTGTATATAACAAAATTTAATTCCGCATTATTTGTATGTTCGTCCGCCTGGTACTAACTGTGTTTTATCCTCTGTAACTAATAAATAGATTTGTTGGTTTAAACAGTCAATGCACCCGATGAGTTTATACTCTGAACGGTATTTTCAGCTGTCAACGAGCTGTAAAGGTGGCAAATTTACATATATGAACGCTCTTAAAGCAAATTTGTCCTGTAGATTAATGACCATTTATTCGCGGAACTGAAACAGCACTCAACTACAATGAGAAAGTCCAACAATAGAGAGATGAAAGTAAGAGTGCGTGAAACAGTTCGTAAAGGGGCTTAAAGCCGCGTTTTAAACGCGTTTGCCGCTACTGTTTTTTGAAAACCATGAAACGGTTGGCCCATGAATTCATAGTGCATCGTACTTTTCTTAAAAAAAAAATGATTGAAACCTCAGGATTTAAGTCTCGTTAGTGACAATTAACCACAGAAACTAGCACTTTTCCCCAAAGCAATTAGCGTCGATTGGGACTTCAAACGTGCAAGAATCGAATTAAAAATTTATTTCTAGCGCTGAAAATGTTTACAACTACCTTGAAACGAAATTTTTGGCGATAATTGGATTTAGGGTTTGAGCAGTAAGGTGTCAACGTTTCTTCTCAAATGCTACTTTTGGACGCAAACTTTACCTGCTTTCGAGCGATTGATTTTGTAATTCCCTTGCTGAAAATACAAAGACAGTACAAAAATAACTTCAAAGCAAAGCATTTTAGTCTAGACCTCGGTTAGTTGTAAATAAAATAGGAAATTTACCTTGTTGACGTGAAAGTTTCCTGGATTAACCTTTCAAAGAGTTTTCATTAAGCCCGAGGCTTTTTTCGAATTCAACTTTGATTTTGCCGTAGTGAGAATCAATGATGATGGGAAATTAAACCGTGTCCGATCTAACTTGCGAGGCTTTCTGTTTTGAAATTTATAGGTTCTTTGGCTGATAGCGCGTTAATTGGTAATTTTTTGCAAGTCTTCTTTTGCGAATTCAGTAATTTTCTCTTGTTTTGCGGGGCGCAATATTTTTTGTTTCTGGATGTCTAAAATTTCTATTGGGTGGTATATTTTCATTTGCAGTGGGACCAAGAATAATTTTCGGGGAACGCGAATGGAAAGATAAGTACATAAAAAGTACACAAAGCATGAAATGGAAGTACGTCTATAATTAAGTACTTACACAAAGTTAAAAAAAACCTACTTGTTATGATTGGTCACTTTTTTTACCGTATTCTTTTCCGCTAAACCTACTAAATTGCTTGATTAAACTTAATTTTAACGCAATGATATAAGGTTATTCGCTGAAGCCGATAAAGTTTAAACTCGACTTGTTACAACATCACAAATAATTTATTTTACACGTTTACCCTAACTGCTGTTTGAAATAAGTTCTGTTTGGAACCTTTTTTTTAGATTTGATAACGGCCTTAATTTTTCTCGAATTCGGGACTTATAGTGTATCATATGGTTTTATTAAAGTCTGCACAAGAAAAGGGATTTAATGCTTTCGTGTTTCCGTTCTTTTTTCAATAATCATTGGTTCGTCATTGTACACATAACGCATCGATTCTTGTCAGCTCTTCGTTCAAATGGCCTGACGCTCAATGTATATACCGAACTGCTATAGCGACTTGGTCTTTTTTATGTCAAAATGCACGTAAAGAAATCTTGTAAGCAAAACTTAGGCTGTTTATGTCTCCTCGTGAGTATTTCGGGAAGAAACTTTTTAATCACTCTCGACACGGCGATAAGTTAAAGCGTAAATATTTGCCGTGCGGGCGGAGGCACTTTTGACAACATAAAACCGAGGAAGAATAAACTGAGGTTACTGAAATAACAGAGAAATGTTTTTAGAAATTTCATTGAAACTGAAATTGAACTGACAACACAAGGACTGAGACTTAATCTTGGCGCCAAAGGCAATATTTTTTAGATTAAAGCAACAGAGGGATTTAGATCGTTTTCATTTTTGAAGAATAGATATAACCTTGAGCAGTGCTTATGCATTCAGTACATTGTAAGTCAAATATAGTTCGCACTTGAAATATATTGTAGGCGGATCTTATCGCTTGATCTTTGCAATCAAACCTAAGGTTAATCTCTGTTTTGTATTTATTTACAGAAACAGGTGATTTATCTATTTGTTAGGTTGTACTGAAGTTCCCGTTGAATATTTGTCTGTCCATACTGCTTATCGCCAAGCTTGTATTGACAGGAACTTTTATGTTTTTGTCGCGGCGCCCACCTAAATATCTTGAAAAAAAAAAAAAAAAAAAAGAAATGCGGTACAACTACCACAAAGGTTGTTATATTTATATATTTAGCACTAATCTTAAAGTTTTCCCAATTCATATCATAAAGCCTTCGGTGGTAAAGATGTTCGAGACAAACGCAAGGAATCATTGCCTTTTATTTGCGAACGAAAATTACGTAAAGCCCAGAAATTTGCATTCATTGCGTGTCTATGAAACTGAAAATTACAAGTGAAAAAATAATTAATGACCTTTTTAAGGTTATGGATGTGGTCATCATGAGGAGTTAATTTCAGTCACTTTTCCAGGTAACTGATTAATAAAAACGAAATAAATTCATTTGTTTGAAGACTGCTATTTGATAATCAGGGACAAATTTTTGCTAGCGGTGCAGCTCTCAGTGCAGTCGGTAAGAGATGAGAAACAGAAGGTTGCTGAGAAGTTTGGACGCGGTTTAAAGAATTTTAAAAGTGATCGATTATGAGTCACGATCATTGTGTTTCCTCTCTCGTTCATCGATTCCTCAATCGCTCATCCAATCTGCCCTGAATGAAAATCCTCGATTACTACAGGATACTCAATCTCGAGCCCAGGGTCATTTTTGGCTCCTTTTCAGCGGTATACCAGCGTGGTATACTACACCGATTGTCCAGCGGTTAACTTTTCCAATTACTTCATTACCTCAAAAAGCCTGGGTTCTAGTCTAATTCAAAATGGCGGCTCAGAAACACGGATCAAGGAAATTCTACGATATTCCGAGTGAAGAATTATCAAATTTGCGGCTAAGGTCTCAGCGAAAGAAGAAAGGAAACAACGAGAAGCTTCTAAAGTACATTGAACGTAACTGTATTGGAAAAGACTTGACGTTTTCTGGGCCATATGGGCGAAGAAATGGTATGCTAGTCGTTCGTACTAATTCCTAAATTTCTTGCGCAACTTGAATTCGAGATTGCTCTTCTAGTTCCTGAGACGAGAATTGTTTTCATTATTATCTACAGTGACGTATTGTGACTACACAGCATCGGGAAGGTATGATATCGTGCTTTGATGCGCGCGAGAACAAGACAGTAATTAGCATTTCCCATACAATTAGGAAGCTTGGTATACGTGTATTTCGTGTTGGATCATAAACCCAGGTCTCTCAAGCTGTTTTGAAGCCAAAGAGTGAGATTTTCGACCGTAGAGCCGTCGATCTTGATACTGCAGGCATCAATTTTCTAAGGGGGGTGGAATATGGGGCATACTCCTCTGGAAAATTGTCATAAAACGAAGTGTATTGCTAAGCATTTGTGGAGGGAATCCTTGTAGTATACAGTGGTTTCATACCCACGGTCGTTTTGTAGCCAGTCATTTTGTGTCCAAATTCAGTTGTTTCATACCCAGGTTTGAGTTGGTTCCTACCCAAACTAGTGGTCAATTCAAACTAATCCCAGTATTCATTCCTGCGAAGTTTCTCAGGCGTTGACAAGTCAGGTTTCACTATGGTTTTCTATGGAATTGCACAAGTAGGGGTGAAAGGGTCATTTATTTGTTTTATCCCTACGATAAAAATACTTACTATGGAAAACATACTTTTGAATTATTAGAGTAAGTACAAATCAACTCAACTGGCTGGGTACAAACTGACTTGGTATGAAATGACCATGGGTGAAAAATTATTGGTTACTCTTCTGTCCTATTTTAGGTCCTTGACATTCATTGAGGATTATATCAGAGAGCAAGTCTTGCCCCATTATGGTAACACACATACAACTACAACTGTAACCTCATTACAAACCACTCTGTATCGGCATGAAGCAAGGTAAATGGCAAAAGTACTTTGAATTGAAGAGAGATTTTCAGTTAAGTGTGGAAAGTGATTGAGGATTGCATTGGTTTTGTTTCTCTTTTCTGTGTGATAAATATCTCAATCAAACTGAGACTCCTTCACTGCAGGCTGTAAAACTTTTTTCATTGTTCTCTAAAGGTCAGCACACATGAGGGGACTAGTCCCTGTGACTAGTCGCAGGGACCAGTTTCATGCGACCAGTCCCTTCGTGTGAACTACACATTTCTGTGGTCGCACAAATTCAAACTGGTTTGAATTCGTGCGACCAGTCGCAGGGACTTGTTGCATGAAACAAATGTTTGTCCCTTCGTGTGAGCTGTTTGTGCGACCAGTCGCAGGGACTTGTCGCATGAAACAAATGTTTGTCCCTTCGTGTGAACTGTTTGTGCGACCAGTCCCTGCGACTAAACAGTAAATAAGCCAATCACGGGTCAGTATGATGCGTGACTTCCGGTATTTGTAAACATTGCAGTTTCTATGAATTTTCC